AAATTATAATTTATCCACACAATGGAATGCTACTTAGTATTAAAAAAGAATGAACACTGGTGATACATACAACACCATGGATGAACCCCAAAATAATTCTGCTGACTACAAAAGGCCAGGTGAAAATGAATACATACTATATGATTCTATTTATATAAAATTCTAGGGAATGCAAAGTAGTCTAGAGTGATGGAAAGCAGATCAGTGGTTGCCTGGGAAGGAGTAGAAGAAAGTGATCATGAAGGGTCAGAAGGAAACTTTTAGGAGTGGAAATTATGTTTATTAGCTGGATTATGGTGATGGTTTCATGGACACATACATTTGTCAAAATTTATCAAGTTGCACACTTGAGAAATGGACAATTTATTCAATGTCAATTATACCTCAAGAAAGCTATTTATGGGGCCGGGGATTTAGCTCAGTGGCACCATGCCTGCCTGGCAAGCTTAAGGTCCTGAGTTCGATCCTTAGTACCAAAGGGGAAAAAAAAAAAACTGTTAAAAAAATTCCATTGAATAAAAAAATAATTCACCTCTCTATCATCAGGATATTAGATTTTGAAATGTATTGATATATACTGGGAGTAGTGGTACATGTTAGTAATCCCAGCATTTTGGGAGGCTGAGGCAAGAAGATCACAAGTTTGAGAGGAGCTTGGGCAATTTAGCAAGTTAGTGAGAACTTATCTCAAAATAAAAAGCAAAAGAAGCAAGGGTTGGGATGTAGGTCAGAGTGAAGGCCTTGGGTTCAATCCCCAGAACCACAAAAAGATAGATAGATAGATAGATGATAGATAGATAGATAGATAGATAGATAGATAGGAATATTACCTCACAGGGAAAAAAAAGATCACTACTATTATATATAACCCCTTAGATGAATTTCAAAAACATGGTATAAGGTTCTATGGTTTATATCTAGATGTCCTCTTAAAGCCTCATGTGATCATAGGTGGGATCTTTGGAAGGTGATGGGATCATAGGGGCATTAGAGCTGACTTGCTGTTAGGAGGTGGGGCCTGTCCCAAAGATGTGGTCACTGTGGATATAACCCAGAAGGTTACATCTCTCTTCCCTGCTCCTGCCTTGACAGTCTCTGCTTCTTGTCCGCCTTGCAATAAGGAGCTCTCTTCTTCCATGCCCCTCTGTCATGTGGTCCTGCCTTGGAGCCAACCGTTATGGTTTGGGTCTAGACATCCCTCCAAAGCCTCACGTGGTCATAGGTGGGTGAATCTAGAGTGTGTGATGCTAGGATTAAGGGCGTGTGATTACTAAATCTGTACATGTGAGTGATTGGTTTGGCACGGCCCTAATCCCAGTAGTCTGAATAAAAAGGAGCAGAAAGACGCTGTTAAGGTCCCTTGCTGCTTTTGCTGCTTCTGCCATGCTGCCTTGGAGCTAGCCAATTACGGACTGAAACCTCTATGAACTGTAAGCCTAATAAACTCTTCCCCTTTAACTTTGGGTGCTGGGTATTTTGTCTCAGCAACGAGAGAAAAGTAACTAAACACACCAACCAACTATGGACTGAAACATGAGCCAAAAAAAACTCCTTCCTTAAGTTGTGGGTGTCAGGTATTTTGTCCCAGTAGTGGGGGAAGGGGCTAAGACATGGGGTGAAAGAAGCCAAATAAATAAATACATGAGTAACTTTATTATAAATGGGCTAGGGGTGTGGCTCAATGGTACAGCACTTGCCCAGCATATGCCAGGTCCTGGGTTCAAACTCCAGCATTTAAAAAACAAAAAAAAGAGATCTATTGTTTTACAAATCAGAATAGTAGTTGCCTCTGGGGGATGGAACTGACTTAAAATGGACACAAAGGAACTTTCTGGGGTTAAAGGAGTCCTCTGGATCTTTGTCTGCATTAATGGACATGTATACTTGTTGAAGTTCACTGAGCTCTATGGTTTTAACATATAGTCGTACCAGGGCCAGGGATTTAGCTCAGTGGTTCCGGCACCTGCCTCACAAGCGCAAGGTCCCGAGTTTGATCTCCCGTACCAAAAAAAAAAACAACGCACACAAACATATAGTCGTACCGGGTGCTGAATGTAGGTTACATCTCAATAAAGTAATACAGTGTAGAAAGTACAATAATGTTCATAAGTGCTACAACAACCATAACCTCAATGAATGGATTAAAAAACAGATCAGAGGGCCGGGGATTTAGCTCAGTGGTTTCGCCACCTGTTTCGAACGCGCAAGGACCTGAGTTGTATCCCCGATACCAAAAAAAATTTTTAAAAAAAAGCACATCAGACATAATCAAAGAGGGGACTGGTGAACTCAAAGAGCTGAAGAGATTACTTGGATTGTATTAACAAGATAGGAAGAATGAAAAGTATAGAGAGAGGTGAAAAGACGTACAGGATGGAGGACAGAATGAAAAGGTCTAGATACTCCCCAAACTGGGGATTGAACCCAGGGCCTTCACATTGAGCTATAAACCCAGGCTTTTATTATTTTTTTTATTTTGAGATAGGTTCTTGCTAAGTCACTAAGTTGCCCAGGTTGGGCTTGAACTTGCAATCCTCCTGCCTCAGCCTCCTAGAATGCTGGGATCAAAGGCATATGTCACCATGCCCACCTTAAAAGATGTAGGTACTTCTAATCAGAATCCCCAAAAAACAAAACACAGAGGACAGGGGATAAAAAGTATAAGCATGTATTTCCGGGCATCGTGGCACATGCCTATAATCCCAGCACTTGGGAGGTTGAGGCAGGAGGGTTGCCATGGTTCAAGGCCAGCCTGGACTATATAGCATGACCCTGTCTCAAAAAAAAAAAATCTATATATATAGATATATAGAGATATATATATCATGTATCACCTAATGATAGGGACATAATCTGAGAATTGCCAATTGTCATTGGGCAATTTTGTCATTGTGTGAATATCACAGGGTATACACAAGTCTAGATAGAGTTCAATCACCTAGTGTGGCTTCTTTTTGTCTGTTTTGTTTTGCTTTTTGAGCCAGGGTCATGCTTCAGGTTGGCCTTGAACTTGTTGTGTAGTCCAAGCTGGCCTCAAACTTGTGACAATCCTTCTGCCTCAACCTCCAGGCTGGTGGGATTACAGTTGTGTATCACCACCCTGCCCCAGTGTGTATTATTTTATTTGTGTGTGTATGTGGTGTCAAGAAGTGAACCCAGGGCCTTACACATACTGGGCAAGTACTCAATTACTGAGCTACATCTCCAACCTCCTCCCTCTTTTTTTTTTAGGTACCAGGAATCAAATTCAGGACTTTGCAATCCTCCCTTTTTTTTTATTTTTAATTTTTTTTCCCACTCCCTCCCTCAATTTTAAATGAGACAGTCTCATTAAGTTGCCCAGGCTGGCCTTGAACGTATGATCATTCTCCCTCAACTTCCTGAGTAGCTGGGACTACAGACATGAGACAGCAAGCCTGGCTGTTATGAATTCTATTTTTATACAACTGGAAATACAGTAGATTTGTTTACATCAGGATCACCACAAACATGTGAGCAATACCTTGCAGTAAGTCTTTATGTTGGCTTACAATGTCACTAGGTGATAGGAACCTAGTGTATCATTGTGTATGGGGTCCTTTATTGACTAAAACAATGCCATGTGGTGCATAGCTGTATTTGAAGAGACATTGGCTGACAATTATCCAAATCTGATTAAGAATGTGAAGTCATATGTACAGGAAACACAATATAGTGAGCCAAATAAATAGAAAAGAATTGATATCTAGACACATTATAAGATAAATCATAAAACACCAAAACATCTTAAAAGAGACAATAATGACAGATCATCTACAAAGATCATCAGATGCAATTAGACTGAGCAGACTTTATTTTAGGTGTTACTGTTGTTAACCCAGGGCCTTCCAAATACTAGGCAAGGGCTCTATTGCTGAGCTATGTCCCCAGCCCTTTTATTTATTTATTTATTTATTTATTTATTTATTTATTTATTTAGAGACACGGTCTTTCTAAGTCACTAAGTTGCCCAGACTGTGCTTGAAATTGTAATCCTCCCACCTCAGGCTCTTAAGAGTTCTGGATTACAGAAATGCCTTGTTTTGAGCAGATTTTTTTTTTTTTTTTTTGTACCAGGGATCAAACTCGGAACCTTGTGCTTGCGAGGCAGGTGGTGACACCATGAGCTAAATCCCGGGCCCTGTGAGCAGATTTCTTTACAACTGATATGCATTGTGCCTAGACTATACTGTGTTTATATTGTCCTAGACACTTAGAACACAAAGATAAATAAGACTGGCCCTGTCCCTATCCTGTGGAGTTCACAGTGTGTCAGGGATGACAGGCACAGAGGGAACAATTATAGTGTGCTGAGCTGCCCTGTTTGGAGGCCAAGAGAATTGGCAAGAAGACAATTCATGTAGAACTGCATTATAAAGACTTTCCTATTGAGAATTCTGGAACATCCTGTTGTTTACCAATACAAGAAGGGCTTTCCCTCCAAGAGATGCAGATGACAGCAGCTTCCCATAGCAGCCCAGATGTCTGGCAGCTTCTGGACCAACATCAACACCCCTGTGTTCTGGGTTGAAGCCTGTTAGGGCCAGGCTGTGTCCGTTTCTGCCTACATTCCCAGCGTCCGGGGAGGGTACCTCCAGCAAGTGCTTACTCATTTAGGGTGGATCCTGGTTGAGAGAAAGGAAGGGTTGGGGAGAAAGCGCATGGGCGACAGGACCCAGAAGAGGAAGTCCAGGGAAGGGTGAAAAGTTCTTCGGAGAGGGATGGAAAAAATGCGCGAGGAAGGCAGGGGAAGGGACTTCTAGGGTGCGATCTAGCCTGCAGAAAGGAGGAGCTGCCAGCTGCTCCCGCCACTCTCACCTTGTGCCACCAGGGATTTGGGGGCGCGGCCCTACGGGTCCTGACCCGCAGCCCGGACCCACCCTCTGCAGCCTCAGTCCCGCCCTTCTTGGAATTTAGCGCTGGCAGCCTGGGCGGCCCCGCAGCCGCCACTTCCGCCTTCGCCAGGTGAGGGCTCCTACGTACTATACTAGCAGGGGTGCCCCTGGCTGGGGCAGGCGGGCCGGAGATTGGCCCTTGGGGTCCTCCGCGGGGTGCTGGCCCGCCTCTCCTTTCCTCCTCGGGTCTTCCCGCTGTCTTGGTTCTGCTGCTCTTCGCTTTCTGACCTGCAGTGCTGGGTCTTTCAGGCCTTGGGCGTTCCTCCGAGCCCAACTCCTCTGGCATTGCCTAGTGGACCCAGCCTCGAGGTTGCCAAGTGCGCCTAGCCTGGGGTCCTGCGCTTCCTCCTCCTTAACTAAGGGTGATGAGGGGGTCAGGTGTTCGGGCAGGGCAGCCAGTATCCAGAGCGCCTAGCCCTAGAACTTCACTTAGCAAAGCCTGGTGGAGTGGCCTTGAAGTGGAGTTAGACTGAACGCAGCAGGTGTTCTGGGCTGAGCTCAGGTGGGTGTGCAAGAACTGCTAATCTGGCAGCCTAGGTGGCTCTGGGGGCAGTAACCGAGCTTAGCAGTGGCCTGCACTTGGCCCATCACAAATGCCTGACTTGGGTGTCTAAAAGGCCAAGACCTGAGTGACACTGGGGTGAGGGGCAGTATGGCTGAATAACTTCAGTATGTATGAGCGCTGTACTTTGATGTCTTGTGAGTTGTGTTTATGTGGCCCTTGGTCTCTTAGACATGTGGGGTGGCATATCTAGGTATCTTTGGTGTGTGGAGGCAGTGAACTGCCTCATTCAAATGGGTATATGTGAGAGCAGGTGTGGCAGTAAGCCTAGGTGTTTTGTGGTACCACACTGGAATCTCTGATTTGGGAAGATAGTATGTGGATGTCTCAGGTAAGTTTGGCCGCAAATCTGTGGATTTATAGCACTACATGAGAGGCAGTGAACCTTTGTGAGTGTGTACCTACATCTCTGAGATATGGTATGGTTAGCATATCTGGGCATCTCCAATGTGGGTGGGAGGCAAAAATGTCTCATGTCTGAGAAGAGGAGAGATCTGAGGTGTATATGAGTGAGCATGTGTAACAGTGTATCTCAGTTCTAAAGGAATGGTGTATTCTGCTGGGTATCTTCCCAAAAGAATTAAAAGAATCATACCACAGTGATATATGTGCACCCATGTTTAAAGCGGCACAGTTTGTAATAGATAAAACTTGGAAACAGCCCAAGTGCCCATCAACTGGAAACTGGATAAAGAAGATGTGGGTTTTTTAAAAAATAAAATGGAGTACTGTTCAGCCATAAAGAATGAGAAACTAGAGACATTTATAGCTAAATGGATGCACATTGAGGCCATACTCTTATAAGTGAAATAAATAGGACACACATGTGTAAATACCAAATAGTTTCTCTGGTGTGAGAAACTGAAAGGGTAAATAAGGATTAAAATGAATAATTGATAATGTGAAATAGGAAGAAAAGGTCCAAAGGGGTAGGGGAAAGGAAAGAAGGGAAAGGAAAAATTATGAGAAAAGGAAAAAATGGAAACAAAGTCTTTGTAAATAGGGAAGGGTGGAAGGGTTGAAGGGAGGACAGGGAATAGGGAAAAAATAAGAACCAAGGTACATCATGTAAAGGTACAAGTTCCCAATGATAAGTGTAAATGTATTGTATACCTAAAATGTACCAATAAAAGAATTTAAGGAAAAAAAATAATTATTTTTAAAGACTAGTAAGTGACTAAAGGCATGGTGTGTCTGGGTGTCCTGAGGGTACAGGGGCATTATCTCTGGGGTGTGGTTAGTGGCATACTTGGATTCTGTATTTGCCGCAGGCAGTGTTCTGAAATCTCAAGGGTGTGGGGAGTGGGTTTCTCAGTGGTTGGGGCGAGGGCGCATCTGGAGCCCTAAGGATGAAGAGCATCTTACTCAGAATTTGTGTACGTGAATGACAGAGTTCCTGTCTCTCTGATGTGTCCCTCCCCCTGTGTCTGTTTCTGATGGGTGGAGGGCTGCACTGGAGACCTGTTTCTAAGTGTCTTAGGTGCCTACCCTAGGCATTACCTCTGAAGCAGAATGCCATCATTGTTATGGGTCCTTCTCCAGACATGCTCCCTGAGGCTGGTTCCCCATGGCTACTACAGCTGCTCCGGAACCTCCAGCTGGGCCAATTTTATCAACCTATCCTTGAAGAACTTAATGTCACTCGGCCAGAGCATTTCGACTTTGTAAGGCCTGAGGACCTGGACAGCATTGGCATGGGCCGACCTGGTAAGGAACTCTTGCTCTGAGGCCCTGATCACTCCTTCCCAGCCTGTCAGTTGCCAGCCCCACATCCCCATCCTCTTGCCTGTAAAATCTCTCTGCACCCTGACCTACCCCTACCTCTATCCCAGTCCTTTGATTCTGGCCTTTCCTAGCCCAGCGCAGACTGGCTGAAGCTCTCAAGAGGCACCGTTCAGGGGTCAAGTCTAAGAACTGGGTCTACAAGGTATATGGTGGTGGTGGCAGTGGTGCTGTTTGAAGGGTTTAAATGGCCAGTTTAGGCCTGAGGATGGGGTGAGCTGAGTAGCGGGGGGAGGGGGAGGGTTCTGCAAGGTTCTTTGCACCTGAGTTCCCACTCTTCTTTTAGATCCTTGGGGGTTTTGCCCCTGAGCAAAAGGAGACCACCCCACCCTCACTCAACCCTCCAACCCTCCCTGAGCCAGAAGGGGGACTCAAGTGTCTGATCCCAGAGGGTGCTGTGTGCAGAAGGGAGCTGCTGGGCTCAGGCTGCTTTGGTGTGGTACACCGTGGACTGTGGATGCTGCCTAGTGGCCAGAATGTGAGTATCCAGGGGACCTACACAGCTGCCCCCTGCATTCTTTTTTTTTTGGTACTGGGGATTGAACTTGGGACCCTGTGCTTTAGAGGCAGGCGCTGGAACCACTGAGCTAAATCCCAGGCCCTGCCCCCTGCATTCTTTATGTCCTCTGTGCTCTGGTCTTGGCATGGCTGGTGGTAGGCTGGTCTGATGATGTTTTCCTCAATCACCAGGTCCCAGTGGCTGTTAAGTCCCTCCGAGTGGGTCCTGAAGGCCCTGTAGGCACGGAGCTGGGAGACTTCCTGAGAGAGGTGTCCATCATGATGAACTTGGAGCACCCACACGTGCTGCGTCTGCATGGCTTGGTATTGGGCCAGCCTCTACAGATGGTGAGCAGATCTGGACATTGGTTCCCCAGACAGCCAGAGCGAGGCCTGGTGTGCAGCAGGAAGGTGCTGTGGAGCCAGACCACTGCTCACATGGTTCTGTTCTTCTGCAGGTGATGGAGCTGGCGCCACTGGGATCCCTGCACGCGCGCCTGAAGGCCCCTGCCCCAATGCCCCCACTACCCATAACTCTGCTCTGCCTCTTCCTTCGGCAGTTGGCAGGGGCCATGTCATATTTGGGGTCCCGTGGGCTAGTGCACCGGGACCTCGCTACGAGAAACCTGCTGCTGGCGTCTCCACGCACTATCAAGGTGGCGGACTTTGGGCTAGTGCGGCCCCTGGGCGGTGCCCGGGGCCGCTATATCATGGGTGGTCCCCGCCCCATCCCTTATGCCTGGTGAGGGTTGCCTCAGCGGGTGGTCATCAGCTGCGGGCGCAAGGCCGGGGGTGGGGGTGGGGGTGGGGGTCGGACGCGCGCGTGTGGGTGCTGGTCTGAAGGCCAACAGTCAGGCAGGAGTTTGGAGCGGGCTGGCTTCCAAAGGAGGCTGGGAACTGAGAGACCAGTGCCTCAAGGGACTCAAAGGAGACTGATGGGGCACCCAGGGGGTGGGTGCTCGGGGGCACATATCCAGCTTCCACTTCCACAGGTGTGCCCCAGAGAGCCTGCGCCAGGGAGCCTTCTCCTCAGCCTCCGATGTGTGGATGTTTGGAGTGACACTGTGGGAGATGTTCTCTGGGGGTGAGGAGCCCTGGACTGGGGTCCCGCCATACCTCATCCTGCAGCTGCTGGAGAAGGACCGATCCCGGCTACCGAGGCCTCCTTTCTGCTCCAGGGCCCTCTACTCTGTTGCCTTGCGCTGTTGGGCTCCCCATCCTGAGGACAGGCCTACCTTTTCCTACCTGGAGGAGCTGCTCCAAGAGGTGGGGATCCCCAGCTCCTCCCCAGACACACATAGGATCTCATCCCTTCATCTCCCTCTCCCCCCAGGGTTCCATGCATAAGATGAAGATATCCAGATACCTGTGCTGAGCTCTGGGACCCAGCTCTGAACAAAACAGATTCAGTCCCTACCTTCAGAAGCTCAGATCCCTGGAAAGGCAGCTAGGGGCTACACTTAGGCAGGCTGAAAGGCTGGCTGTGTGTCTGGGCCAGGAAGGGGCACAGAGGAGGAGCAGTAGGTCCCCGTGGGTGTGTGACAGACAAAGAGAGAAGTTCTACATGAGAGGGGAAATGGAAGTAATGAGGCTGCAGAGGTAAGCAGGGCTGCATCATGGACGGTTTCTAGAGCATGTTGGGAACCACAGCTCCCACACAGAGCACCTGCCCCATGTGAGACACTGTATTAAGGGCTTTGCAGGCATCCTTATGCCTATCTGTTCATTTTGTCCTCTCAACAACCCCATATGGTAATTACTTTTTTTTTTTTTTTCCATTTGCCAGATGGAACAGCTATGGCACCATTCAGTGACTTACCTAAAATCACAGAATAAGTGGAGAAAATGAGATTAGCACCAGTTAATGTGACTTCAAGAGCTGTTCCGTAAATGGCTGTACTGGTAAAGGGGTTTAGTCTTCACTTCAGGGGCGCTCGAGTGTTGTAGAAAGATGTTAAGCAGGGGAGTTAGAAGCCAACTTTACATGTTATTTTACTGTAGCCTGGTCCAAGAATGGTTTTGAGAGATCCTACTGACACTGATTGTGAAGCAGAAGCGAGAACAAGAGGTCTGAGTGAGGGTTAAGGAAATGGTACTGGAGAGGCATGGAAGTTTTCCAGAGGTGCTTGGGAAGCAGACCTTAGAGGCCAGGGTGCAGAGTAAAAGCAGTGAACAGGATAGCTCTCCCTTTGGTCTTCATAGGTAGAGAGAGGGCCCTTCTTTATTTTCCCCAAACGTTGGGCTGTGTTCAGCTTGGCATGGGATCTAGGTAGACCTCCCCCAGTAGATTACAACTGGGAGACAGGGACAGTCCCATTGCGGTCCAGCACAGAGGACATACCTGCCATGGGTTTGACTGGCATGTTTGACTGGTATGTGCAAAAGGAGGTCTCCTTTCTTCCCTGCTCCCATACTACCCTTCTAACTCAGGCTTTTTGAAAGCCCAGCCTTTCCTCCTGTCTCCACAGGCCTGGCCTTCTGAGGGACGTTGTGTGAGGGATATCACAGAGCCAGGAGCTTTGCAGATGGAGCCTGGTGACTCTGTCACCATCATTGAGGGCAGGTGACAGCCTCATGCCCCCCAAAATCCACAGGGGAGGCCAGTTCCCCAAGCCTTCTTGATTCCCAAACTCCTCTCACTTCTTCCCAACCCCTTGAACCCCAGTCTTCTGTGTCTTCTCCCCTCCCCTTCGAGCCCTGAGCTCCAGTGCAGTCTTGGGCTCCCTTCTAGAGCCCTGACTGTGTCCATAGAGCCCTTTTGTGTTGGGAAGAAAAATACTTCCCTTCTTCCAGGCAGAAGCAACCACAAGGCACACAGCTTGCTTAGCTGAATACGGCCTGAACCCAGCTGCTATTCTCTCTCATGCTCTCATCCCCTTCACCAGTCCTCTTCCCACAGCCCCGACTCCACAACCTGGAAAGGACAGAATGGCCGCACCTTCAAAGTGGGCAGCTTCCCAGCCTCAGCAGTGACACTTGCAGACTTGGGAGGCTCCTCTGCCACCCATCCAGTCCATAGAAGCTCCCCTGCTCGAGGAGAGCGATGCCGGGCGAACATAGATGGGTGAGGAATTTAAAGGGTTAAGGACAGAGCTATGGTGGGGGTACTGTTCAAGTCCATCAACTTCTCTTGAAGAGAAGCTGAGGATAGGATGGGGCAAACCTGGAGGGGAAACTGGGCTTGCCTCTCAGCTGCAGCTTCTAGCCTGGGCCTCAGCATGCCCTGGAGCCCTAGTTTCTTTGGGATGGAAGATGAACTGGATCATTCTCTTGACAGGGAAAGAGAGAAGGAAAAGCCTTGGGATCTACCTCCAGCACAGGGCCAGAGAAGAAAGGTGTCCCTGCAGAGGATGAAAGGTGGGTACAGTAAGACTTCAGTGTCACAGCTCAATAACAACCCTCCAATTCTGCCCATCTTGAATCCGTAGCTCTGCCTACATGATTTCTTTCCTCCAAATCCTCCCTCTGGGCATCCTAGCTATCCATTAAGATCTTAAGAGATTCGAAGCTCCCTGCTTTCCCCAGTGGACAGCATCTTTCCATTCCCATTCTGACCTAAGCTTTGGGCCATCAGATCTTTCTTCTTTTTTCTTTTTCTTTTCTTTTCTTTCTTTCTTCCTTTCTCTCTCTTTCTTTCTTTTTTCTTTCTTTCTTCCATTCTCCCTCTGTCTCTCTCTTTCTTTTCACTGCTGTGGATCAAACCCAGAGGTCCTCTACCACTGAGCTGTATCCCCAGTTCTTTTTATTTTTGAGATAGAATCTCAATAAGTTGCCTTGAACTTGCAGTCCTCTTGCCTCAGTTTCCTCAGTAGTTGAGATCACAGGTTTGCACCACTACTACACATGGCAAGCTACCTAAGTCTTAATGGCCATTTCTACACCTGTCTTATTGTCCCACTTAACACAAGGACCACCCCAAGGTCAGGGTCAGCTAGCTTACTTGGAAATTCTATAAGGACAGAAAGCAGGAAAAAATGGGACCTAGCACCTGGGTCTGCTCTCATGTTGTTTCTTTCTCAACTATACAGGCATTTCCAAGAGTCTGGAGTCAGTTCTGTCCCTGGGCCCTCGCCTCACAGGGGGTGGTTCAAGCCCCCCTGAACTTCGACGTGCCAGAGCTGTGCCCCCAGGACTCCAAGGCTTGCCTCCATGCCCACCTTTTACCTCTAGTTCTTCTCAGCCCAGCCAGCCCCCCAGGGAGAGGCCTCCCAGGCCTAAAAGAGAACTTCTACATAATCACCGCATCAACACACCTGGAGCCAGTAAAGCCACTGTCCCCTCTGGGTGCCTCTTCCCTGACCCTGAGTGGCAGAGGAGGATTATGGAGGTGAGTGGAGTCTCACTGCAATGGGCAGGTGTCCAGAAAGGCCTAGAAATGGGGCAAGGGCCTGAGTGAGGCTTTGTTCCCTGCAGGTAGAGCTAAGTGTGCATGGAGTCACCCACCAGGAGTGCCAGGCAGCATTAAGAACTACCGGGGGAGACGTGGTCTCTGCCATCCGGAACCTCAAGGTAAAGTCACACCCTTCTCCCAGACTCCTTCTTCTCCTGTTCCTGCCACCTGGGATAGAAGTCAACTGCCCACCCCCTTGTTCTCATAGGTAGAACAGCTCTTCCATTTGAGTAGCCGGTCTAGAGCTGACTGCTGGCACATCCTGGAGCATTATCAGTGGGACCTCTCAGCTGCCAGCCGCTATGTCCTGGCCCGGTCTTGAGCTCGACTTCCTTGGGCACAGACACCAGCATAGAACACCTGGGCCCCTCAGGGCCTAGCCATATGGGAACAAGCAGAATCAGAATAAAGCCTTGACAGGGTTATGGTCAGACTTTCCCACCTAAGGAGATCCCACTGGCTATTGGCAGGTATCGGAAGTACCCAGGGAAGCCCAGGGTTGGACACTGATGAGAGTCTCCCTCTACCCTGTCCTTTGCCTCTGAGGGCCTAAGAATCCTTGGCTGGGATAAGAAGGACATAATCTACTCTGTCATCACATTATCACATAAGAGGAGGACCTGAAGGAAAAGAGCTGCAATAAAGCACATCCAGGGGAAGCTTCTACTCACTACAGTCACTGATTTGGTGGTTATACTAGACCATGGAAATAGGCATCCTGGATTGCCATTTGCTACCTCATTGGATTCTAGCCATCTTGGATGATGGAAGTAGCCATATCAACTTGAGATACATGGCCTAAATTGCCTTGGTTTAGGCCAGGGCTGCCATAGGTGAAGAAAATTACCCTCTTAGACTCAAGGACATTTGATCCTAGTATAGACTGGATTATGAGACGGGCCAACCCCACCCCAGCTCTCAAAGTTCCCTTTGTGTTTTCCCACACAAATTCTTCTACCCTCCCCTATTACATATATCTTCAAATGTTCAAAAAGTTACAAACTTTATATGAATATAACATACAAAGATGCAGCCTCCTTCCTAGGGAAAGGGAGGGGAGGGGTGGTTAAGTAAGGCACAGGAAGCTGCAGCAAGCACCAGCTGTGGGCAGGGCCCAAGGGGGAAAGGAAGTAGGCACTAGGGCCTAGCCTTTACAGCTGCTAGTGGGGAAGTGGGAATCCCTTCAAAGTGCTATAGTCTGAGGCTGAACTCTTGGCCAGGCTAATGCATAGGAAAGGCAGGATGTTTGCCATCTTTGGCGCTACTTGCCCTTCCCCCACTAACCCTGTGGTAAAACTGAAGTCCTGGGTTCCAAAGGCCTCTCTCCAATGCAGAGGCCCTGGAAGGGGGTGGGAGGGAGTGGGCAGGGAAGTTTGAAAGCCTATATGCCTTTGTGCAGAGGGACCGGTGGGAGGCAGCAGGAAAGGGCTCTCATACATACCCTTCTGTGGGGCCACAGGTGAAGGAGGCCAGGGAAGAGGGCAGGGATTGGGCATCAGGGCCCCCCATCTCTGAGGAACCCCTGTCTGTCCCCTGCAGTGTACATGGAGGAAAGGGGCTGCCTCTGAGGAAGGGCTAGGCCAGAGCAAGTGACCATCTTGAATTCTGGTTGAGGGGATGGTCTCTTCACCCTGAGGCATCCTCTAACTGGTGATGGCAGAGGGCCCAGCACCTCCTCGTTTCTCGAAGAACATGTAGTCCTGAGGGGAGGGCACTGTCAACAATCTGGCTGGGCCAGCCTGGCTCAGCTATCACAACCTAGGTCTTGACCCACAAACCCCCAAAATATCTGTCCCTAACCTTTTCCTAGCAAGAGGTTAGGAAATGCACAAAGCATCAAGTGACAACCAAGGAGTGGCAGGGAGGGGTGGTGGTGGGCAACTCACAATGAGGAATGTGGCCCCCAGCAGCACAGCCTTCACCCTCACATCCAGATCCAGAGGAAATTGTAGGCCGAAGTCATCAGCATCTGTGAGGGCTTCTTGCAGGAGCCCCCCCCACTGCTTGCTGATGCGGCCTACACTGCGTGATTCATCCCTGGTCTTCACCTGTTGGGAGGGAAGAAGACTCCAACTGGGGAGGATGTGACCAATCTCACCTGCTTCCATTCTTACTCCCATAGTCACCATGTATGAACTGTACATGCTCTATACCCCATGAATCCTAACAGCCTTGAGTTTCCATAGGACAGCTGGAGGAACTGAGCACCCTGTATTACATGCAAGTATATAGCAAAACTCAGGGTTCAAACTCAGATCTGTTCTCCAAAGACCATTTATGACATAACTGAATAGTAGTAGGAGAAATGGAAACATGATATAGTCAAATCCCCTTAATATATGGCTGGTTATTGCCTTGATTACGAATGTCCCTGATACCCACGGTTGGTAGAGTCTGTACCCTACACAGAGAAGCCCGACTGAGAGAGCAAAGGAAGCTGACAAAATCCTGGCTACACTTTATCAGCCAGGCAAGCTCTTAGATGGCTATGTCTTCCCAAAAGGATGACTTTTCTCTAGTCTGCAAAGTAGGGGCATGCCCTGTCCAGCACTGCACATGAGTCCCATCTAGAGGGGGTCCAAATCTATTGATTGCAAGGAGGTGCCTCTGAGGATCATGATTTTCACTAATCTCTCTAAGCCCAGCAAAAACAGTTGTCTCTGGTGATGTGGGTGGTAATTCATAGTGATTTCCTGGTCCTTTTTTTATGCCCATTATCTGGTGACTAGGACTGGAGCAATTTCCTATAATATCCTGTCCATCCCCTTCCTCCACTATCCTCCAGCTTGAAGGCACTTTCTGCAGCCCTGTCCCAGGTTGAGCAGGGCCTGTTCCAACCAGCCCTGCAGTCCTGAGGGTGCAGCCTCCATATGGACCATTCATAATTGTGAAAAAGGGACACTGGCCCTCTGAGAATCCATAATCTACACATTTCTGTACAGAGATTACAGAGTTATCTCCTTCACAACTGGTTCCCATCACAGAACCTCCCTCTGACTACCAGAGTGACTCACTTTTTAAAAGTAATCTTAGGTAAAGTACCTTATCGGAAGTGTTGGCAAGTCTACTGGATAATACCTGTTGCTTCTCTCTTATCTGTACAGTGAATTATCCCTTAAAGAACCCTAGCATCTATAAACTGTCTCTGTCTTTAGAAACCAAAATATTTCTCAGGCCTCAACCTGAAACTCTTATCACTTGAGTTCTCCAGGTTCAATTGGTGATAGATAAGAAGAATATCAGTTGGACTTCAGGTTGGATGGGTCAGATTTTTCCCACCAACCCAGGGCTGTAGATAACAATCAACATTGGTTTTGAAGATGAAATCCTTTTTGCTATGCTTTCATAAGACCACGAGACCATCCCATTTCTGAATAGAGGAAAACTGGAAGTGTGGTAGGAGTCAAACAGATTTAGATTGATGACCCCAGGGTCTTGATCTTAGTCAAGCCATCCTGCCTCATGGAAGCTGCCATCTTGGTTTATGAAGATTCAGGAATCTCCCCTTTATTTCCGATACCTCAAAGTTGGTGTCTATGCCACAGCCACAGGTCCAGCAAGGTCCCACCACTCGCAGGACTGTCTGGCGATCGGCATCTTGGATGGAGAACTTAGGGAGAAAGGGATGCCAGGTCTGTAGAACATGGCCAATGGTAGTGCCTGGTGGAGCCTGTACTTCCATCTAGAATGGGAGGCAGACAGGTCATTGCTGAGCCTGTGCACCCTGACCCAAGTCCTCATGGGTCCTGGCACTATCTGGCATTCATTACCTTCTGTCTACCCAAACCCTCACTAAACTTGCCATTCCCTACCTGCCCACTGCCATTAGAGCCACACCTCATTCCAGGCCCTGCCCCATCAGTGCCCGCCTCCTTAGCCCTTTGAGGCAGCCTCTGTACGCCAAGTCTCCAAGCCCACCTCCTGGAGGCCACAGGGGCAGCACAGGCAGCCACAGTGGAGTGGACGGATCAGGCGAAGCACTTCTCGGTCCCCGGAGTCTGCCAGGCGGACACGAAGCGGCCGGCGGGCACCACAGCACAGGCGGGCACAGCAGTTGCTCTCCTCAGCCGCCTGGCCCAGGGGCTGCCCGGCGCCTGAGCGCAATTCATACCGGTTACAGGTCTCCCAGCCTAGGAACGCTGTTGGGGGTGACACGCTGAGGCCTAGGTGCCTTGCCTGCCCAGAAGCCCACCATCTTTGCCAGGGTAATGAGGCCCGGAAGATTCTGCATTCAACTTACTTTCCACTCGCTCAGCCTTCTGGTGAATCAAGATCTGATCAATCTGAGAAGAGCAGGGTAGAGCTGACATCAACTGGCGCACCTGAACTCCCAAGTACCCTCCTGATACCCTCCCTGCCACTCACCTGTGCCAGGAACTCGAGGCCAGAAGGCAGCCCTGGCAGTGGCGAGAAGGGGGCAGGAGGCCCGGGGGCCACGGGGCCCGGCGAAGGGAAGAGAGCGAAGCCAGGCGCAGGGGGAGGCACCTGGGCGGGCAGGGGAGCCTGCACGGGCCCAGGATGCAGCACGGGCTCCGGGTACCCGGTGGTCACAGGGTAGGGAGGTGGGGGCGAAGGGGCGTAGCCTTTGGGGGGTAAGTAACCTGTCGGGGGTCAGGGGCAAATTAGAAAGGTACCTGTAGCCTCATCCCCTTATTCCTCCGAGAGGCCCCGTGGTTCACGTGGGAAGGGAGAAGGATGGGGCAGGGGAGCAGGGCGGCGGCTCCCAGGAGGAAAGGAACGGAGGGCCCCATGCAGCCAGCCAGTCTGAGTACATTCCTAGAGGATGTGTTCCACACCCCATACCCAAGGCCGTGGGGGGATAACGGAGACCCCCAGCCTAGCGCCCGCTTACCTGCCATGAGAGAGGGACAGGGGCCGGGTTGGTGGGATGTCGGTGCCCAGGAGACTTAGTTGTGGAAGTGGAGGCAAGCTCGGAGACAGCCAGACAGACAGAGACAGACACAAAGACGGACAGGCAAACGCGGAGAGCCAATGCGCCCGGCGCCAGCCCAGGGTCTCTTGGGCGGCGCCTAAGACTTGGGGAGAAACCGAAAGTGTCAGAGGGCAGGGCCGGGTACCTGGGACCCTGGATTTCCTCCGGGGCCCCAGAACCGCCCCCTCCCTTTGTTCTCCCATTCTCCTCGGAGGCAGCTGTGGGCGGACGGCAGGACAGATGGGCCCGCGGTCACCCCAACTGCATGACTTCAAAGGAGGTCTTCCTGACCCCAATATGCCCCGGCTCACCTGAAGCCCCCAGAATAGCCCGGGGGCCACGCACTCGGAGACTCCCAGGCGCTCGTGGAGGAGGGTCCGGGGCCTGACCCCGCCCCTCGACCGGCCAGGCCCCACCCCTCCCGGCCCGGGTGGCGCGTCTGCGCAGAGAGGAGGACGCTTCTCCTCTTGGGGTCAGAGGCCTGGGACTTAGCACCCCTGGGTGTTGCTGCGGCCCCCGTCCCTTCCGCTCCGACTGCAGAAGCCGAGAGCTCCTGGGCAACACAGCCAGCCAAACCCCAGCCCTATGACCCCTGCTGGGGCGCCCCTAGGTGCAAGCCCAGGCCACTGGGCTGCGCTCCTGCGAACCAACTGCAACGGACCCTGGGCTCCTCCTCCCAAGGGCGTTTTGGGCCTCGCTGACGCAGCAGAACACCCTTCACTCACT